AAAACCTGGCCGTGGCGTCTCTCAGGCTTCTCTCTGGTGCTAGATTCATAAAATAATATGAATTTCGACAAATTGGAGCAATCTATAAAGAATCTAAATGCAGTGGTTAATAAATTTCCCATCGGTGCGATTTCGTCAAACGATTTCAAGCCTGTTGAGGAAAAGATGCAGACAGCTCGGATGTCCCTGATGCACACAAATGCCAGATTTTTAATACTTGCAGCAAAAATCAAACGTATGTTAAAGTTGCACAGCACGTGCATTTCCACAGTTATTTTGAAATCCCTTGCATTGTGTTACAGAATACATAGACAATAGGCAACAACGGAAAAAAGAAATCAAAGGAGTACTTCAGGATGTTACAAGTGATACACTTGTAAATACCAAGGCCATCAAATTATGCCTTCACAGTATCACTGCTCTTTCGATTCTCAACGAAGAGGAAGGCACTGTGGAAGATCAGAAGTAAGAAACAGAAACAGATTATACAAATACTGCTAGCTATAAAGCTTACTACTGGCCAAATTAGACAACTATTAGATACAGAGATGTAATAAAATTTTAATTCTTTACTACAGAAAACTCGACATCAATATGGAAAAATTATTTAACCTCAATGAAAAAATTATGGCAATTCAAAAAAACATTGAGGAAGCATCTCAAGTACAATTAAATCTAAAAATAGAATGTCAGAAAGCGCTTTTCAATCATAAAAATTTTCTGAGAGAACAGGAACAGATACGAAGCGAGAAATTACAGGAAACAAATCCTGAAATAATGAAGTAAGTAAACTGACAATCTCATTGTATATAATTTTCAAATTAAAAATTTTTTTCAGTACTAAATCCCAGATGGAAAAAACTTTGCGGAAGATAAATATAATGAAGAAACTCATTAGAATTTTTATAGCAACATCCGACGACATGTTAGCAAACAAACTACTGTTAGAAATGTTAGAGAAGCATAGAGAATCAATAAACGTTGAAACAATTATGAAAATGGCAGAAAGTGAAGAACTAGCGGATATGTAACAAACATATAATAAAAAAAAGAAAGACAAACAATAAAAGAAAACGGAAATCACAAAGAGAAAATATGCAGGAATTCGTAAGAACTTTTTTCTCTTTTCTTACTTGCTAAGCGCAGTAGAGACGACACATATTTACAAGAATAAGTTTCCACGCAAATTTCAATGTCTATTATTTTTTTTCCTTTTTGTCGTCTATTAAAGCGCTTTGTCAGATCGATTTTTTTTCTGAGTTAATTGTTAATGCTCAGTTCCACCAACGTAGATTAACTTTAATCTCGGTTCAACTTATTCTTCATCTTTTTCTAGTTCTAAGAATTAGAAAAAGGTAAAGAGTAAGTTGAACCGGGATAAAGTTAATCTACGTTGGTGGAACTGGACAAAATAAAGCAAAATCAATATCGTATATAAGTTAAAAATTAGGATAGTAATCACAGCGTACGTATAGTAAAGTTTTTCACTATAGGGGGAGAGAGATGTACATATTCATTTATATTTAAAAATCGGTGTTTCTGTAGTCGAGAGACTCGATTTTCTCACGCAGGATTCTTAATTCGCATATATAACATTAATTACCGCGTGCGTTAAAATGCAGATGTAAAACAATCGGTTCTTATTTTTTTTAATGGTCCAAATGAGTATGTGTATGTCATTCTCAGTCTCATTATATATGTTATCCATCCCTTTTTTATGTAAACCACTCTCCTTTTTCCCACAATCACCCATGTATATACGTATATATGGGCGTGCAAATATATAATCCTCACAATGATAGTAGTACTAAAACAATTTAATCACTATGTACACAAATTTGCTCGGTTTCGGATAGATCAGTTCAAGACGAGTAGAAAGAAAACGAATCCACTTGAGAAGGGAGCAGTATTGAACACTATTAAAAGAGACAATATTCGTGAATTCAGGACCTCACGTCAATAAAATTTGAGAGAAACAATTCATTGAATACACGTAGTACTATTTTTACACACAACCAAAATCACTCTTACGTTCTATTAACTTCCTTCCAAAGAACACATCCGTTTTCCCAGTGGCGTTATTTCATTTACATAATGAAAAAAAATTATATCACGCAAAGACACTAATCCCACATATTAATAATGATATTGTAATAAAAATTGCATTTGTTATGTAAATGGTTGACGAATTGAAGTATAAGCATACGCTTTGTGTGAACATAATTAATTGATAATTTTCTAGTTCTTTCCTTATTTCAGTTTCTTCTTGTGTGTTTTTACCATTGCAAGAAATATGTCAGCTTGCAACGCATACACACAAACTTATGCGCAATATTGCGTATCTAATATCTAATTTAGTATTTCACAATCGTTCGATCAGTGATTCGCTTATGTTTTTAATTGAACGAATTTGGATCGATCCGAGAGTGATTAATTGCAATTTATCGTAAATTCATAACCGAGTTGAAATATTTTTTATCAGTTATTAAGATTAACTTTATTAAAACCTTATCAAAATACAAGTTTTATTTTTGTTTTTGGATATACTTTCCAAGATTCTAAAACTTGAATTGAACACGGTCCGCGTTTTAATCATGTTGCTGCTAATACGCAACAGGTCCAATAACATTATTAATCACTCCCGGATCGATCGAAGCCCAGTCAGTCGAGAATACTATTAGCAATAGTAAACACACATACGCGCACACACACACACGCGTACAATTTCAATTGCACGTAAGCTGTCAATCTCATAAAAACAGCGATTTCTTTTTTTGTAGCAATTAGCAATTTTATTCAACAATTCGTCCATTAAAACAATACGAACGTATAGTAAGTCAAAAATGTATATGTATAAGCCTCGCTATGCGCGTCATTCATTTTCTCTATATGAAAAAAAAAACTATAGTGTTGATCAACTTAATCTCAAAGAGTTCCACAGTTTTTCATCTCTAACAGTTCTTCAACACTGTCGGTAATCTACATATCAACGTAACTAAACAATCACAATATACGAGGAAAAACACGCGTCCAATTTCTTTATTTCGTAGTTATGCTTTGCAACAAGATACTAAACTCACTTCCGTAGACACGCACGATCACGATATACCTTCATCGTTGACCAATGGGCCGAGGAATGAAAAAGATGCGAGAGTGCGTCCCAATCTGTTCGCACCAATTTACAAATATATAAAAAGGAAAAAAAAAAGAAATATCTCTCGAGCGGAGTTTTAGATTACAACAAGCCTTAAGCGCAACAATCACTTCTCTCATTATGCAACGCATGCACTTTGTCTATTATCTAGGAGAAAAAGGAAATATATGCGTGCGTGCGCGCGTATGTGTGTGTATTTACAATCGCTTGTATGTGTGAGTGTATAACTCTGATGGCAGGATATAGTACGATATAAATACTTGGAGCTTTCTCTTCGTGTTTATGTAGACCTTGCGCTCGCTCACGCATGCACGCACGCATGCTTCTTCCTTGCGCGCAATCGGGGATTACACAATTATACGGTTCCGTTTACTCAAATATTATTCCGATCACTCAAATAAATCCTATCTACCCGCAAGAATGACTCGCGAATGAATAATCGCATGCGCGACATAATCACGGCTTCAACATCTTATGTACTGTACAGGAGTGTGTGTATGGTATTATGCGAAATAACGACTTTTAGCTTCGTTGAAGAAATCGTTCTCAAGTAATAACGTTTCTTTTCAACTCGTTCTCTTCCCACGCACGCGAATATCACGAAAATGCATCAGACATTCGTCAGATCATTCACTCTCTTTCTGTCCGTTGATATAAACGTAGCATGACATTATCGTCGATTATTTCGACGATTGCTTGTCAAATTTACACGTGACAAGCTTACAAAAGAAGGAACGATATTCTCGGTGTGTCGATAAGTGGAAAGATACAGATGAGAGTGAGAGAAGATGAGAATGTGAGGGAGGAAGGGGGGGGGGGGGCAGGAAATGCACACACAAGTACGATCTAGATTCTGATTTCTATCTTTTTAAGCGTATCACTTTTCAAGACATTTGATAGCAACGTAGACTAGTTCTCCTCTTTCTTTCGTCTTTTTTTTTCTTTCTCGTACGAAAACACGTACGGGTCGGAATATACAATAAGAATTCGAGTACACGACAGCTCTGTAAGTACATGGGTTTTCTGTTGCCAGACGCGCTTGTCGGGGTATTTGGATATTCAACATGGTGTACGAGCGTATTACATTAACACAGTACGGTATGTTTGCGCACACATCTCGAGAGTCAAAGTCATCGGTCGGACTAGCGTAAATGTGGACCTTTGGGTCCAGTTTTCTGCACGTCCATCGCTTTCCGCGCAACCACGGTTCCTGCAAGAAAAACAGACTTATGTTTGATTGCATCCTTTTTACTTGCAAATAATATCAGCCTGACAAAAATATTGTTTCTGAGAAATTCTGTAAACGGAAGAATCAAATTTGTTATAATTTCTCAGAGTATTGCGGATTTTTTGTAGAGAAATTTTCTCCGAATTTTGTTAATATTATGATTCAATATTTATAAATACCACGTTCTGAAAAGAAGAAATTGATGTTGAAAATATTTCATTGAAATTAACTAATAATTTTATTTAAAGCTGAATCTTAAAAATTATAAATTACAAACATCCTTACTCGCTTGTTTAATCGACATGACCGACGGGATCAATCCTCGCTGGTCCATGTTCGAATTTTCATATGTATTTTCATCTCGATTATATCTCGGTTGTTCAAGTGCTTCGTTGCGAACTATCAGCAGAAAATCACACCGTATGAATCCCTACAAATACCTCACAACGTAACCCTCTCCTTCTCTTGAAGAATAATAATTAAATATGCTCATAGCAGTAGGTTTGTTACAATAAAAATCTGTACGTTATTGCATATTACACTGTATTTCATAATTTATCTCTTTGCGCTGGTATTTAGTCTAATTTGTTTCGGTGGAAATTATCTTTCGGCCCTCTATTATTTCACTGTCACATCGGTCTTGATCTTTTCTTCTCAAAAATATCAGAATCAGATGTATCATATTTGATTGCTTTTCTCTTACTTCATCTGTCGTCATGTGCCATCTTGAAAATACGCGTGGACCAAGAAATATAACAATTATCTTCGAAAGTCGCACTCTCCTTGCAAAGAATGATTCGAAAGAAGTACTTTTGTCCTTTTTTTCCGACTTTCTTTCTTTTTCCCTTTTAACCGATATACGCTAGTGGCGGAACACGGATCAATGGTGTCACATAATTTTAACTTGTTCTTCGCATTGTTACTTGCTTATTAAACTTTCATTATATACGCTATAAAGTCTACAGACAGAAGAACCTTACTTGATCGATATGTTATGTAAAATGTAATTGTTTCAATTGTTTCATTGCGACAAATCGCTCTCACGCATGATAAATTCAGTTTGGAAGGCATGAAACCGATATTTTGATTCTATAAAAAGCATTGAAAAGTTTGCGGACTTTCTCTGCACGATTTACGTCACCGTATTTCCGTCGTATAGTTCACGCGGATGGAAATCATGGAAACAATACCACGAACGCTACCGCAATTTATCGTGTTAACGAGATATTCACGCATAGAGATTTTGCGTTTCGTTCCAAAAAAACGAATGTAGCGGGATATTCTTTAATATTCAAATCCATGTGGCGATAATGGAATTATCGTTATCATGATCCTCGTGTAGAAAATGACAGGCAGTGTACATGTTAAAGAAACTATTTTGACGCACTCGGATAATTTAAACCATGGCTCGGAATTAGTTCAACTTTACAGCCGATTCTCGAGATTAACGCCTCCTTTCCTCTCCTTATCACGTGCGCATGTTAAGAACGGCACGAATAGTGCCGCCATCCAATTAACGAGTGAATTCTTCTCTTAAAAGAACCTTGATTATTGAAATTTAAGAAAATTTATTACACAATAATTCGGAGTAAAATGGAAATGTGGAGCCAAAGCAAGTTTTGTTAATAATGCAAGATAAAAGAATAATAAGCTATCAACACCTTGCTCTACATTCCCATCGTTTTACTCCGAATTATTTTGTACACGAGCCTTCACTTACTAATTTTATTTATTACACATTTTTTTAAATGGTTTCCCCAGTAGGTCTATTCCACTGAAGACAAAAAATAACGAATTTTTAATTAAAAAAATAAAACATGAAACAGATTAGATTTTCTTGGCCTTTTATGAGAAAATCTTGTCTTCAGTGGAATAAGCCTACTGGGAAACCACTTTAAAAAATGCGTCAGCAACAATACCTCATAGATAATATGGTTCTCTATATTGAAATATTTCCAAATAATAAATTTAAAAATTATAAAAATAATATTACTAATAAATTTTCTTAAATTTCAATAATCAAGGTTCTCTTAAGAGAAGAACCCACTCATTCATTGTGCCGCTCCTAACGTTCGACGGTGCTGGCCCTAGCGGCTGCAGCGCGCGTGGTAAGAAGAGGAAAGGAAGCTTCAACCTCGAGAATCGGCTGAAAAGCGGAACTAATTCCGAGCACTGGTTTAAATTCTATAATACGGACTCGGTATTTATTTCAATAATGCTTATCGATAATGCTAATACTGCCACTGTTTCATATTTCCTTTAATATATTACATTATTTCAAAATTAATTCAAAATTAAAGTTACCAAATTTGTTTACTATACACAATTTTGTAAACTATAAATATCCTAATATATTAGAATCATTTTATATCTTTTTGACAATAGATAAAAAAATTTAAAATTAAAAGATGCATAACAAAATTAAAAGCGCTCACTTTCACTTTACATAGATTATATAGGGTGTCCGTAAAGAAATCAAATTTATACAGTGTACTAATGGGATTCAGTAGATAAAAAGTTTATATAAACCTATATCCGAAAATGCTTTATTAAAAAGTTATAAGCGTTCAAGGATTTATGAGCAGAATTAATTATTCAGATTAGATTACACCGATTCTTCTACCACTAAAATATGTTGTGGGGGAAGTTTTTCTGACTAAATCCCCGCAAGATCATGTAGGGGACATTACTAATTATAGAAACATAATTAAATAACAAATTAAATTTACACTGTAAAGGTACTTATGTTCTGTAAAAGTACTTAATTACTGGAGGAAAATTTAATTTATTATATTTTTACAACCAGTGCGGTCTTCCACACAGTTCTCACGAGGATTTATTCAGAAAAACATTCCGTATAACATATCTCAGCGGCAGAAAAATCGGTGAGGTGTAATCTAATCTGAATAATTACCGAACAATTCTGCTCATGAATCTCTGAATGCTTATAACTTTTTAATAAAGCATTTTCAGACATAGATTTACGTAAGCTTTTTTGATCTACTGAATCCCATTAACACACTGTACAAATTTGATCTCAACCTCAACGGACACTCTGCATGTATTTTCGCGACTCGTAATGTGATTTAATTCGTAAACGCGGCGAAAGTAAAGCAAGATCACTCGTTTACAAACATCTGACATCTCGATCTCATTCCTCAGAGGATAGAACGCCGATTATCGTTTCCTTTTTCAGTTTCATGCCTTTCAGAGAACTATATATAATCGAACTTTGCGACAATCGGAAATCTCGATTACAACAGATTTCAGGAATATACTACGCTCGTTTATCTTATGGGGCTGTGAATATACACACAATGAGATCTGTAGTAGTAGCTTCAATCCGTTATAATTCACAGAGAGTATACATGCGCAACGCAATATCCGTCGCGTAAAACACGGTGTATTGAAGAGCGCCCCCATGGTACAAGAAGAGAGTTGTAGGCACAAACAAGTTCTCTCAACATCGGAACATCAATTCCTTCTTACTTCTATATAATGCGGCTTACCGGTACTGAACCGTCATCGCCGCCGTCATGGCCGACGACCGTTCTCAGTCAACAGCGACGTATCAATATGTTGATAGCGATAACAATGTAATTGATAAACGTGAGTGATGAAAATGGAAATGATGGCAATCATGACTAATGACGATGATGATGACGATACGATAATAATAATAATGATGATGAGGGTGATGATGATGACGATGACGATGACGATGACGATGACGATGATGACGATGACGATGATGATGATGATAACAATGAAAATGATAAGGATGAGAATCAACGCAATAATATTAATAATAATGAAATAAAATAAAATAATAATAATGATTAATCATTACAATAATAGCAATCGTAGTACTAGTAGTAGTAACAGTAGCAGCAGTAAGTAGTAATAGTAGTGGATAGTCGGTAGCAACAAGATGAAATGTAATCATGTAGTAATAATAGCAATAATAATAGCACGAGGTCACCTTTCTTGGCTAAACGAGAAGATTTATTCAGTCAGTAGGTAAGTGGATTCGCCAACGTCTTGACTTCGAATTCGTTTATCAGCAACTCAAGACTACGCCATTACAAAATATTCATCTTGATGATTCATGATGATGAAGAGAAGGAAAAGAATTAAACAATTAAAATTACAAGATGTATATTAGAAGCATCTAAAAGGATATTACCGATCAGAGATGTACTTGCTGAATTCGACTGACTGACTTTTTAATAGACATGGAAATTTAATCATCGAGTAATTGAATTCATGCAACGAAAAATTCATCATCTCTCTCGCCGAATACACATATAAAAACATGTAAAAATCTCAATCGCCATCATGATATATTATATAAAGTTTTACACTGTAATATTATTACAAAAAAAAAGAAATGTAAAGAAAAATACATCTTTGTATTTCAACCTCATAAAATTGTAAGCCTCAATATTTCATTAATAGACACCAATAATTAAATTTCAAAAAAAAAACTTTAAATTTGTATTCGCAGAATACATATCACTATTAACCATTTTTTTCACCCGTTTAGATGTACTCTTTTGTAGATTTGTACATATATAACTTAAAAAAAAATAAAAACAAAAAAAAAGCAAATTGATCGAGCCTCGTTAGCTTCCCATGTGTGATAAAGATTTGGTGTCAATGTATCGAGTTCTACGGAGTGTAGAGTTTTAAGTAACGCCGCAAGACAATCAGCCGCTTTAATCATAACGCAGTCGTAGCAAAAACAATTCTAATCGCACGCAGCTATCATAGAGAATAACCCGATACATTCCATCGTAGAAGGAATGAATCTCCGCCGTTATCGGAGAAGATTGAATTGTCGTCAGCGAGTCCACCTATTTAACGAAAAGATCAGCTCGATTGGCCAGAAGAAAAGGAACTTGATTTATTCGATCACGATTCGAGTCGCGCGCGACCGTCCAACTAATGATAATTAGCAGCGACAGTGGTATAATGGCTGTGCGACAGTGGTGATGTCGTTGTGACTGATGAGGTTTCAGTTCGACAACGGCGGTGGCGTCGGTATCGGCGTCATCGTGACGGTAGTGTGCAGCACCGAGTCCCGGGACGCGGAACGACTGCCGGCACGCAATAGAGTGACAATCTCCCTCTCAGGATCGGCGCTGCTGCTCGCAATACCGCCTGCTGCATCCACATCCATACCACCCGCGCCGCGTTTACCCGCCCTCGATGTCGCGGCGACGGTTCCACCGGCGGCAGCTTCCCTGGGATCGTCGGCACTATTACCCGCACACTGCACCGTCCCCCCGAGACCAACGGTAACGGACAGTCATTTCTGCCTTCCACTTTTCTTCTTCTTACGCTTGAAGAAACAACAGCATCTGGAAATAAAGCAAACACTAATAGGACTTAGAGTCGTCCCCTTGGCAGCATATCTCGTTAGTCAACACTGATCATGCAGCGGTGGGACACAATAGATGCAGATGGGACAATGCGGTCGCACTGTGTGTGTGTATGAAGCAAAGAGAGGGAAATTTTCCTGATCTTTCGACGAGATACTTTATCCTATTGTATGTATAAATGTAGACATTAGTGCTAATTTCAGGATTATTATGCAGTTGTTAATTACAGTTTTTTTTTGACAAAATTTATTCTGACAAAACAATAAAGGTAGAAATAGAAATAATAGGAAAAGTAGGAAACCTGTGATAAAGTGAAGATTAATGCATACATTTAATTACAATTGTGCCGAGTATAGTGAAATTCATTATTTCAACACTTGTTGATAAAAAAAAAAAAAAAACAGTTGAGGACACGGCGTGCAATTTACTTACAATTAGATTGAATTGTTTAAAGCCTATGTGAATATAATCCATCAACTATTGCGTTTGATTAAGATATTAACAGCAAAATAACAGTTTTTGCATTAAACAATAGAATAAAAATATATAAAATTACTTTTAAAAATTGCTTATTTTGTTTTTGAATATAATGACAAAAATAATTACCTCAACTAAATTGTCAAATCAAATTTTGCCTGTACTATTAAATTTTACAAAAATTTTAGATATTGGAAACACAAAAAATGAAGTACATAAATACTCCACAGTACTATATAAAATATTGAATAATAACATAAAAAAAACATTATACATCATAAACATATATTTGCCATTTCATACTTTGAGATTTATATTTTAATATTGTTTATAGAGCATGATTGATTACACAACTGATTTAAAAATAAAACTTTCTATCATAACAATAAATCTCTAACAATACATTTAACGAATGTTATATTTTCTTCTTATATTACGAAACAAAAAGTCTTGAATTGTCCATTTGTATAAAGATAACATATCGAATTCGGGAATGAGAGGTGTTGGATAGGTGTTGGAAATGTGTGCTTGTAAAGATCGCAACAATAGTTTTTTGCATCGAGGACAATATCTCTGTTTTAGACGACTTATTTTTCTGAAAGAAATATCACATACACGGCTTAGATATTCAATTGATACAAATAGGTTTCCGTTATCTTTATCCCAATTTTGAAAAAGTCCAATTTTTGTGCTAAGACTATTTCAGCATACAAATTATTCTAAGAATGTTTCAGTATACAAATTATTCTATTCTAAGAATATTACGCATATAAATACGTATAATAATGTATGCATGCAGAATTCCCAGAATATATAGTGTCCCAGACATTTTACTACCGTAACACCTGTTAATAACAGATTCTTGAGATCATTTGAAGACGAAAATCTTAATACCAAAACGTTGAGACTGCAATAGTTTTTAAATGAAAAATGTTTAAAGTTGGCCAATCAAGATGTCAAAAAATTGCGCGTCAAGGACATCACACATTGAAAGTGCCCTCAGATATCACTTTAGTTATCGATATTAATATAATTTATGCACTATTATTGAAATGACACTTTATAAATTTATTTATAAATTTATCTTTATTTACTTTTTTTGAAATATTGACATTAGAACGCGATGTGCATCGAACTGTCAAAGATTTTCACATGAAGCGTGTCATAGACGAATTCAAGCATGTTCAATGTGCAACATGCCTGAACGCGCAACTTTTTGACAACCTGATTGGTCAACTATAAACACTTTCCATTTAAAAACTATTGCAATCTCGACAATTTAGCATTAAGATTTTCATTTCCAAGTGATCTCAGGAAATCTGCCATTACATGTTACGGTAGGGTCTGAAACACTTTGTATACATCAGATGGTTGCATTCTTATTCATTTCATGAATTTACCATATTTAGAACAACAAAGAGAGACGCGAATTGCGATAAAACAAACTGCTACTAACTTGGTTTCGTCGATCATGTCCACTTCCTGAGGTGCTGTGATTGGTGTGTTGGAGTGCCCAGCGGTTGGATCGTCGTTCGCTAGTTCTCCATTAGTCGACGAAACCACCTGTATACATCATACATCATTAGTGCGAATCAAAATAGAAATAAAGAGAAGTTTCACATTAAAAGACTTTACATATCTATAAACTTGTATTTTCCAGCACTATTGGATGTGAAAGTTGGAAAATGATTTTTATACTACTTGGACTTGTAAAAGAGAAAAACTACGGAAATAAATACATACAAGAAGAATAAATTTTTGGTCACAAGAGTGTCTACTTAAAAGTTACACAAAAAAAGTAAAGTCTTACGTGGCAAGAACAGGATGAGAGTTGAATATAAAGAGAAACTATCGCTAATGGGGATCGATAAAACGATAATTGAAAGGAAAAAAGAAGCGTAAAAAGTAATAATCAACTCCGATCTGTCTCAAAAGTCATACGGTTCGTACGTGACGATGACACTTTCATTATTGCAAGTGCAGAGAAAACAAGTGATCGTAATAGTACCATTAGTAATTAGTATCAAAAATGTCGAAGAAGGTAAGTTTCGATCAAACAATTGACACAAAGGCAACATGCTGCAACAAGTCAAGTTGCACAGACTTTTAACTGACCATAATCCAGTGGTGCTTTGTCTAGAAATAGAGCGAACGATTTACTCCTGATAGACTGAGAGAGAGAGACATCGTATATATCTATATATGTCGGCGTTATGAGAATGAGAGAGAAAGAGAGAGAGAAAGAAAGAGAGAGAGAGAGAGAGAGAGAGAGAGAGAGAGAGAGAGAGAGAGAGAGAGAGAGAAGGAGAAGCGACAGTGAGGGAAAAACAAGTAATGAGTAAATCGCTGTTAACGGATCAATTTAGCGCACGAATATAATATTATATAATCTTTCCCAAATTTTACGTTTTAAATCCTACACAATTTAAAGTCAAGAAATTGCAAATTCTTCATCATACAAATTTTAACGCTGTATCACTAAAGATCACGCGTTTCCTTTCCCTTATAATTCTCTATATCTTTATTATTATCTCTATAATCTTTATAGATTTAAAATTTTCTTATAAATTAAATTCTACAAGAGAAAGGCTCATGCGATAATTTATCAAATATAATATAACAATGGTTACGGAGCTGTTGCGGTTGTTGGTGCGAAATAATTTATTTTTCACATTGAAACCTATTCGTCTACATCGAGACATTAAATTGCCTATCTGATCGAATTTAATTTTTAGGAAATCGAGAGATGAAATAACGAGAGAGAGAGAGAGAGAGAGAGAGAGAGAGAGAGAGAGAGAGAGAGGGAGAGAGAGTGAGAGTGAGAAAGAGAGAGATGGAAGATGCGGAAGGTAAACTCACCTGTACAGAACCGTGCCTATCAGCAGGTGTCAATGTACCACCGGCTCCTGATTGCTTCACAGTATCTGGCCACGTGGCTCCCACCCCCTTACCGCCCCCACCTCCCGCCCCTCCACCTGCCACGTCCTGAAGGATCAAGCATGACAATTTCGCAGTTGCGTTGCGTTAAGCAGTTTCGCGGATGAATTTCGAAGAACAGTAGAAAAATATGCGGAGAGGAATATTTGAGTGAGTGAGTGAGTGAGTGAGTGAAAGAGAGAGAGAGAGAGAGAGAGAGAAATAGAATGAAGGGAATACCTTGTAAGCGGTGGGATGCCGATCACGATTTGGCGATACAACAATCTCCTGGCCGGTTTGGAGAGACCCAACGGGCGTGGACTGAAATAAGAGAGAAAACATTTGCTTTGTATGCATCTACAGATGGGACGAAAGTTGGTTGTGAGCACCATGATTGTACACTTCTATGTATTTCACACTGTACATCGGTAACATACTTGGGGAGCTGGAAAGCGGGCGGACAGACGGACGGACAGATAGACATATTGGACGGACTGCACTTTAATTTACGCTTAACAGTGGCTTTACCTGTGACATTATAGAGCGTTAGAACCCTACATGCAATTAGATGAAACCAATCAGCCGCGACAACGATAGTAACGATTTAATTATCGTGTGAACGAAGCAATACTTTGTCGTCTATAAAGAGTTATGCTAAACGATATGCGATAATACTGCAAAAATATGAAAGCCTAATTATTACTGCAAGTCGTAATTATCTGCCGGGAAACATGTTGTCGCTATTCGAGCCACCAACCTTATCGGATTTTGTTTTGCCAATGTGGGAGGGGGCTGCCAACCGCAACGCTCTCAGATGCTCCAAGTTGGGTGGCTAGAGGTAGTGTATTGAGGGGGGGAGGCAGCATGCAAATGTTAAAAATCAAATATGAGACTGCTCGCAAACATTGTCTTGCTCTTTGTTGCGGGTCTGTTGGGACATTGGCGGACGATTTACTTACCCAAAGGTGTCGGGACATTTCTTCTCCGAAAAATCATCGAAATAATTGAATTATATTAAAAACTTGAATTTCGAAAACGAAAATAATTTATAAAACAATCTCTCGTAATTATCGGAAAGAACAATATCTCTTCTTGACACTGTTGAGTGTAAGAGTTAAATAAAATATTAGAAAAATATCAAAAATATTAGTATTGTAAAAATAGAAACGTTTCATGCTTCAACATTTCTTCCAAAGAGTTTGGAATAATATTTTGATGAAAGACACTTTATAATTAAATTTTCCAATTACATAAGACTGTTCGTAAACAGATAACGCAAATAAAGCGATAAAGCGTCTGTTTCGACATTGTTAGAAAGAAAAATGTATCGATAACGTAAAAGCAACATTAGCCACCGATACATTCTCTCTTATTGAAGAGACGTGATTATCACCATCGTTCTCAAATGTAATAAGCAAGTTCATATACATATATATGCACATAAGCAGAGAGATATACTATATTAAATCACGTAAATATAATTTTTCAGAAGGTTCTAAAGAGATTTTTCGCTTTTAACATACTCTCAGTGAAATACTTATGTTTTACAGATTTTTTATGTATTCCCAGATACAATATCAAACTTCGATATGTTTCAGAAAATGAAGTTGTGTGAATATGTCTTCATATTGTGACTTAACTTTATACAGTCAACATCTCTACTTTCATTGAAAACATTTGCCATTAGGTAAAAATTGGAGTACAGAGTCTTTTCATAATATAATAATTCAATTTTTGAAAAAATGCGACTTGACGTAGTATATTTCTGAGGTGCTCATATACGTATATGCATAAATTATTCTCCCTGAATACAAAAATAATAACCACGCGCAATCGTGATCCGCCGCATATACCTTTTTACAAGAGCTTTTTGCGTAAAGAGACAAGAATGATTATGATTAGTCGACACGCACCATCGTCTTGCCGGTCCAGTCGAATTCGCCATCGTTGACGAAACCGCGTCTCTCGAACAGATCGTGGAAGAGCTTCCTCAAGTACTCGTAATCCGGCGTCTCGAAAAAGTCCAGTCTGCGTACGTAGCGCAGATACGTGGCCATCTCCTCGGGATGGCCGTCGCAGAGTACCTCTATCGGCGTGGCCCGCTTCGTATCACCGATCTTTTGATAGCGCTCCTTCAACGTATCGGCCTTCAATCCTTGCCACGGCAAACTGCCGCGCAGAAAGTACATGAACATGTGGCCCAGCGCTTCCAGATCATCCCTTCTGCTTTGCTCTGTGTTTATCACATATATCAAGTTATATATTTCTCGTATTTTGCATATCTTTTGGTTATATATTATATATATATATATCAAACACATAATTAAAAAACTATAAAATTCTTGAAAAAAAAAACGAGTTATTTATTATGAAAATTTCAATCGTAAAACAAAACTTATTCGCATAAATAAGTAATATTAATTTTATATTGTTTTATACACAAACAAAAGAAGGGGGGGAGGGGAAAGGCGGTAATTTGGTAGAACGTGGAAATTTGTTACGCGGCGAGCGCAACTAAACAAAAGTAAATGTCCGTTACCTTTGCCAAGATGCGTGTTGATACTCATGTAACGCGCCGTACCGGTGAGACTCTTGTGTTCCCGGTACGGTATATGCTTGTTTGTTTCCAGGTCTATGTACTCTTTGGCTAGTCCAAAATCGATTATGTGAATGACTTTTTCCCGCTTGGAGCCGGTTCGTCCAACCAGAAAATTTTCCGGTTTGATGTCGCGGTATATTAAATGCCGACTATGAACATATTCTATCCTATGGAGCTACAGAACAAAACATAAGTATGTGTATGCAAAAAGGTCAATCTTTCTCATTCAACCAAATTATAAATTATCATCTTCGTAATGTGTTTTATCATTATATTTTTCATAACTTTATATAATATTGTAATATATTTAAAACTTTTCTCTTTATAAAACTTATAAATATACATAATTTTAGATAAATATTTAATTTTCAATACTACTTGATCATTTGATAATTCTAAACCTTGAAACACCTTGAACACCTTGAAATTTGCCTCAAATAGATATCAAACTAGAAGAAAAAGTTTTAAAGAGAAATGATGAGGCAAGTGATTAAAGTTTGGGAGATTTGCTGGCGCCTAAGTCTGATGTTTGAGACTTCCAAAGTGCGGTAGTGAACGGTTAATTCCACGAAATTGACTTACAAGCTGTGTGGCAATGCTGAGAACGGTTTTGAGGGTGAACCTTCTCCCACAGAGGTCGAAGAGATCCTCGAGGCTCGGTCCAAGGAGTTCCATCACCAGAGCGTTGTACTTGCCGCATGGGCCGAAGTAGTACACCTCCGGTATACCCTCTATATGTGTGTTATGAACTATACCAATCGACACAAAAGCAGATCACACCCCAGATCACCCCCAATTAATTGCGCGATATTATCTCGCTCGCAACGCGAGCACAAAAACACAACATAAAATTTGACATGAAAATATTTTTGCATTATCAACTGTGACACCAACTTTGCGCACCACTTTCGCCACCAACTTTGCACAATATAAAAAATCCGCAATTTAACGTAATTTATTTCGTATTTTACATTATACGATCAATTTTCAAATGAATAATTTGGGGAATAAAAAGCAAAGATATAATTACAAAATAGATAATGATTAAAAATAACATAAGAATGATTTTTGTTCTTTTTCCCCCTCAAATGTCACAACTTTTAACAATTGTACAATTCTAAATGTGACGAGCTCGATATCTTCGTTAAGGAAAAATCAATTCAAAATTTGTTAAAAAGGAATTGCATTAAAAAATTATGCGGCAGAATGCATTCTGAACAGTCTGTCTACGTGAAAATGCAATATTTCCACGTTTATCTCTTCGAGCACATATCGTACATTTACGATATCAATCTCGATTCGTGACGTTGATTGTCGAGCTTTGCTCAAGCATGCAGAAATTACGCGCGCGATTATTTTTCACATGAAATTCAGCTAACACACTCTCTTGGATCGTATTGAAGTAAAATACTGTGCAAAGTTGGCTCTTAGATCAGCTGCTACCGTGGATTGCTTCTTGCATGCAGCGTCATAGACAAAGGACGCTGTACTAACCTCTGTGAAGTTGGCACTCCATTTTCAAAATTTCGATATAATTATAAGAGTTCTGGCTCTTCCCTAAAGAGTTCTAGAGTTCCTGATAGGTTTTAGAAAGAGTTCCGTCGATTAACTGTAAAAAAATTTAGATCCGAAAATATGAGGTGCTAACTTCACGTTTTTTCAAAACTCTTATAATTATATCAGAATTTTGAAAATGGAGTGTCAACTTCACAGAGGTGTTGTACTATCGGAAACATTTATTGTTTGACTATTAAGCGGATCCTGAAGTCGTCTGTTTTATCGATTTCTTTTAAAAACACTATACTTTTTTTCGGCTGTGTAGAATAAAAAATCCTTTTCCGTAATTAAAGTACATATGCTAATACAGTCTGGACGGTCGATTTAAAAGGATTTTTCATTTCACGCAGTC